GGGTACGCTTGCGGAGTCTTTGCATGGGAACAAGGCGATGAAGTGCGGGAGTTCCAGAAGTTGCCCGGTGGTCCCCTTGTGCCGGGTGATGAAGTGGACCAGGTTCAGCGCGTCCTCTGGCGTGGGGGCGTACAGCACGGGTTGCCAGTTTTGTATGCCCACGTCGTCGGGATCCGATGGCCCGGTTATGTGAGGGGCCCCGCCCAGGATTCTGATGTGCATCTTGGCCTCCAGCTGCGCTAGGGTGCGAATGTCGGTGTCGGGGTGTTTCTGCAAGGCTTCTCTGCACGTGGCCAGCAAGTCGTAGCCAAAAGCTTGCCGCCCTTTTTGCGCGATCTGGATTTGCCAGAACGGTTCCCCGCAGGGGCCGTCCTCGAAGACACCGAAGGTGCTTCCCCAGCGTCGGATGGTGGCAACGAGCTCCGAGCCGTCTTCGCGCCCGGCTGCGTCGCCGGTGGTGGCACGTGATCTCAGTCTGATTCCACCGGTGCTGCAGCGCTGTTTCTTCGTGGAGGGGACGCAGGTGTGAGCTCTGCTGCCTGCCATGCCTCTCTTCTGTGTGGCTGCTTCTAGGCTGCGAGGGCTCTCGAGAGTATCCAAGGCTTGAGCCTGTCGGCCGGCGAGAGCAGGGGCTGGTATCGCTCGAAGCCGTTTGTTTTTTACGAGCTAGCCGGCTTTCCGGGGATGTGTCGGCGGTGACGGCGGCGTGGTTTCATGCAAAGGAGCAAGCACTCTCGGATTAATTTTGCTGTTCTTGAGCTGCCATCGCGACTGACGGTGGCGTCTCCGAGTGTGTAGCTCGGCTTGGAGCACAAAGCTTGAAACAGAATGTACCGGCTCACCGGCATCTGGCCTGGGGAGCTTCTTGAGAGCTTGCCTATGTGCGTGGCTTTTAGCCTTGCGCTCTGAGCAGTACGATGCGACGTCCCGCTTGTTTGGTCTCGTTCTGCAGCAGGTGAAGTCTCGTCAGCAGTCGGTCCCATGCTGCTTTCTGGAGACCGTCGCGGGCTGCTTCGTGCCTTGGTGGTGGACATATCGTTATGGGACCGACGTGCAGCTGTGTCTGTGGGTGTTAGTTTTACCGTGTGCATGCTGCGTGATCTGTGGGTTTTTCTCTGATTCGCGGGCTGTTGCGTGAGGAACCAGCACGCGTCCTGCCAGAGGTGCTGCTGTCGTGGGTGTCCCGGCTCCGACCGCGCCGATAAGGTCTCGGTTTGCATCTTGCGGAGTCGCGTCGGAAGTTCGTCCCATGCCGCTTTTTGGCGACCGCCGCCAGCTGTTGCGCACCTTGGCGGTGGACAGAGCGTGACGTGAGTGTTTCGCAACTCCGCCCGTGAGGTCAATTGTGTCGTTCTATGCTGCGCACATTGACTGTTTCCGCCTGAGCTCTGCGCTGCTTGCTGAGGAACCAGCATGCATCCTGCCAGAGTCGCTGCTGTCGAGAGTACCCGGACTCCGAGGACGTGAGCAGTGCTAGCAGGAAGGGCCGGAGCGTCTTCGCGTCGGTGTACTCTTGCTCGTCTTTCCAGTGCTGCTTGATGACGTGCTTCATCTTTTCATTGGTATTCTGCTGCCCTCGAGGCCACGGGTGTTTGTCCCGGCGCTCTCGTCGTCGCCTCGTTCGTCGCCATGGCTGCCGCTGCGGGGCGGGGGCTGTTTGCCGGTAGGCCTTCATGCGGTCTACGCGTGTTTGGCTTGACGTGGCTGCGGGACATGCTGTGCCTCGCGGCGGCGGGCAGTCGGACTTGCCTGCTGCTAGTCTGCCGGTTCTGTCAGCGCTGGCTGCCGATGGCATTGCCCGGGCTTTTACGGACTGTGTGCATATCTTTTCTCGGGTGAAACCGGGCTGCCTATACCGATGAGATGCTTGGCCGCTGTTCCTGCTGCAGAGCTGTGGCAGGACGACTTTAGTGTTGATCTCTTTTTTTTGTGTGTCTTTAGGTCGGGCTGAAGGGTTTGGGTCGCTGCTCTTCTGGACAGGTTGGTTGTTTTTTTTTCGTGGCTGTGGCTTTGGTCTTCGTCTAGCTGGTCTGCTTAAGTTACAGTCTTTGGGTTGTCCTGGGTCTCCTCGTCGTCTTGGCAGCGACTTCGTGAGGGAGCTGGCTCGCGCCGTTGATCGCGATGATGGATTTTGTGCTCCGGCATGATTGTGCGCTGCTCTGTCAAGAACTTGCAGTGGATGTGCTTCGTGTACCGTCGTCCCTGGCAACAGCAGTGTCTCGGAGTGCATCCTCTGTCGCCGAGCTGTAGTCTATTTTTGATCTGCGAGGGCAGCTGCTCCAGGAGTCCGTCCACGTCGATGTGGTTGAATTCCAACCTCAGCCAGGAGCAACTGCCGGCGGTTTCGGCGCCGGCGGCGCTCACCTTCGTGCAGCCGAGCAGAAGGAGCAAGGCCTTCGTCTCCGTCGTGGACAGTCGGTTGTGGCTCAGGTGCAGCTCCTTTAGGGTCTCCCAGTGCTGCTCGATGAAGGGCGTGAGCGGTTCCAGGCTTCGGATGTTGTTGTGGTGCAGGTACCCCGCCTGCACGTCCCCGCCGATGGCCTGCAGGATCTCAGCTGCGTCGTGCTCGTCCAGACTGTTGTTCTCCAGGTGCACTCTCAGTGGAGTTCGCGGCGGCCGCCATTGCCGCAGTGCTTGACTCCAGCGGCCGATGTCCTGTTTGGGCCGCATGACATTGGCGAGGTAGATTAGGCCGCTTGGGTGCAGGCGCTCGGCGTCCGACGGTGTCAGGAGGTCCATGGCTGTTCAGGTTGGAGCCAAAGAGTGCACAGCGTTGTGTTTGCTGCTTCGCTTGAGCCGGTCAGTGCTGCGCGAGTGGCAGTGTCGTCTGTGGGGTCTTTTCGCGGTAATGGCAGTCCATGCTGTTGTGACGCTGCGTTTTGTTCCCGGACTCGTTCTTTTTTTTTGTCCGAAACAGGCGCGGTGTTAAAATCGGTTGCGGCCCGCAATCGCGCAGGCTCCGCACTCGCAGCGAGCTTCGCCTGTCATCCTTCGACCTGAGGGCGGGTGTCGCTGCGTGCGTCTCTGTCGGATAGCCTTGAGGCCCGCACATCCGGGAAGTGCCGCTGTGGATGTCCCGGAGTCGCTGTCACTGTCGCGGGAATCCTTCGACGGCAGCCAGTTTGCTGCTGGTGCTGCTTGCTCCGTTCTCGTCCTCTTCGGGAGCGCTTTCGCTGGCCTTTCGCAGTGCTAGCTTGCGTGCTTTTGCTGTCGTGGCTCTTTGCTCCCTTTTCCGCCTCGGCGTGGTCGCAGGATTGTGTCCACACTGTGTCCTGGGGTTCGTCGATCGGTGCTAGTGTCCAGTGGCGCGAAACGGTAGTGTCCTGGATGTGCGCCTGAAGCTCTTCGTCCGCGCGACGTGCCTCGGCCGTTTTGTTCGGGGGAGTGTTGTTCGTGTAGACATCCCGGCCTCTGCTTCATCTCTCGTGGGACCCACGAAGCGAAAGGAGGGGAGGAGGTCTGGTTCCTTGGCGCGAGCTCGTGTCGTCTCTTGGCTGCCTTGCTGCTGTTGGAGCGTGCCTCTGCTGTGACCGTGTAGTTATGCTCCTTGGCTCGAATGGCTTTTTGCAGGTCTTGGCTGCATGCACTCTGGCCTCCGGATCGAGCCAGTCTGCCGTGGCCCACATGTACTCTTCGGCTAGCATATAGGATACCTGTGCGGGATGGGTTACCGCAGCGTTTCTGACGTGGCATTGGTTCAGCTTGCCTCGTGAGCGTCGTGCCAGATGATGAACGGCATCTTTTAAACAAAAAAGTCTCTGATGTGTGAGTGTTGTATCATTGGCTTGATTTGTTTCTGTTCCGGCATGGCACCTAGGCTGGGTGTGTTGGTGCGAGAATCTTTTTGTGCGTGAAGACATGAGCTGATGAGCCGCACTGGGCTGCCGGGCGCATGTTTCGTTGCTAGCGTCGTTTTAGTGTTGTCGTCGCGATTTAGTACTACTACTACTGCTACTGCTCCTATTGCTACTTCTACCGGGATCTGGTTGGCTGCTCTGGAAACTTGCACGGCAGCGTCTGTGTTCGATTTTCCTCTTTTTTTTGTCAGGCAAGGAGGCTGGTGAGCAGTGCACGATTCGTCGGCGAGTACCCAGGTGCTTTGGGCTTCGCTCCTTATCGGATGCGGCGAAGGCGTGAACTGGCGCGCTCTCGTGCAGCCTGTCGCCGGCATTTCCAAGCTAGTCTGAGATGCTTTTGGAGCTTCTGGATGCCTTGCGTCGTGATGAGCTTCTCGTCTTGCTGTCGTCCCAGACTTATGTCCGAGACCATGCTCTCCAGTTGTCGGAAGGTGCGTTCCCACCTCATAGCGCCTTCGATGGAGAGCTCACCTGGTCGAGGTTGGGACACATGATTGGGCCCTTGCGACCTGCATTTCATTTTTTTTTTGCGTGGCGTGCCTTGTGCTTGTTGAAGCAGCTTGTCCAGAGCTTTGCCGATGTCCCTGTAGAGACCCGGCATGGCACGGTAAGCCATGGTTGGGTGGGTGCGTGTCTGCTTTGCGGTATGAGCTGTCCGGTATATGCCGTGGCTTTGAGCTTTAACGCCCACGGAGGCAGATCGGCTTGAGCCTGCGGCCATGGCCATTTGGGCATGTTTGCGCTGCATTACTCCTGCACTGAGCACTTGCATCTGCCGCACTGCTCTGCGCGGGTTCTGTTTTTTCCGCACACCGAGCAAGTTGCCTTGTTTGCTTTCTGTGAGACTGCAAGCGGGTATCTGTGGCATATCTTCCGGAGTTCTCGTTGCAGCGGCTCGCGACATGACGGTCGGCAGGATGTGGTGGTCGTTCTAGCCGGCGTGGTCTTCGCCGGTGCGATCGCCATTCTTCTCCAGCTGCGGTGCGGCGTCGGGGCGCTCTGTGCTCTCTGCATCTGGTTCATCCTCCCGTTCTGCCGAGTTTTCTGCTGCGGATCTGGTCTTTTTGTGTCGATGATGCTGACGTGCCTTCGGCTTTGATGTCGCGCGTTGCCTCTTGCTTGTCCTGGTCGTTGTCTTGGTGCCGGGTCGCTCGTCTTGCATCTTCTCTTCCCTCTTCTTCTTGGCGATGCGGGTCTTCTCCTTTTCAGTGGTCCGAGCTTCGATGACGTCCTGGGTCGCCATCAGCTTTCTCGTCTTGCATGCGTCGCGCTCGTTCTTTGCCAGAAGGAGCACCTTCTCAGCGATGGTCAGGGCTCGCTGTGCCTTCTTTTCCTGTTCGATGGCGAGCTCCAGCGATAGGAAGGAGTCTGCTGTGACAACGTCCTGGAGGTTGTTCAATGCGGTTACTGCTAAAGCCGGCGTCGACGGCGCTGCTAGCATTGCTCCCGGCGTTGTTGTGCCTGAGCCCACACTCACGGTGCTTTTGTGCTGTTATCCAGTGCCTCGAGCCGGTCTTTTGCAACGCTGATGGTCTCAGAAGCTGGGGACGGCGCCGTTGGTTGCCATATCTCCGGCCTGTAAGTGCTATCGCGTGTTTGCAAGTTTGGAGTCAAGTCGTTGCCTCGTCGGAGAGATGAAGATGGCGCTGGGTCACTAGTATCGTGCTTGGGGCTTGAGCCGCGTGCTCGATGGATTCCTGCGGCTTAATTGTGCTTCTGTCTGCTTCTGCACAGATCCCGGGCGTTTCGGTCGTATCCAAATCCTTCAAGCTTTTTTTCTCACAGGCGGGCGGGGGCAAAGCCCGCTCCGAGCCGTCGGTTGTGAAACACGTGGACTACGTATGTCCTTTGGTGCAGGAGAAGTGGCAGGAGGAGTTGGTCCTGACAAGATGCGCGGAAGAGACTTGAGCGTCCGTGTCCGCGCGCTGGTCACGTGCCTTGCTCACTCGAAGCCGACCGATGGTGCAAAAGCACGTCGCGGGCCAAGCCAGCCAGGTGGCGTTGGACCATATTGCCTGCATATTGAGATTCACATGCTTGGGGGGGGGGGGGTTCATCGAGGACAACAGTGCGAAGTTGGCCTGCCTTTAGGTCGTCCACCGTAGCTTCTGCTCGCAGTGCGAGCATTACGGGTGGGCCGAATTCGCTGTGTACCACCACGTTGAAGGACTGACCTTAAGGAATGCTGTATTGTTAGAGCAACTCGCAGGAGGGGAAGGGGGAGAGGGCATGTATTAGTGAGTTAAGCAGCCCGACGCCAGAGAACGCATGGCGGCTGCACCCGAAGACTGAGACGTGTAGCGTTTGCTTGTTGCTTGGGCCGAGGGCTCGTGGGCTGCGTGATCTTTGGGCGTCCGCAGGAATTCTTGCAGATTTGCATTGTCCCTACTTTTGGTACTGAACAAGACTCTAGGCAGCACGTGCTCCATCTTTTCTGCTTTATTCGTTTTCGAGGTTTTCGGCTCAGCCTCCTTTCCACTCTTCCATTTGACAGCATTGGTTCTGCCTTGGCTTCGTCAGAAAAGTCGATGTAAGTATGGCACACACACACACGCACACATACACACGACGCAAGTACACTGTAAGGGTGGACGTGCTTTTTTTTTGCAGTGAAGTTGCGGCCACATCATAACCTTGGAGGGCATTTCTTGTGTGACAGTCGTTGCCCAGTCACTGGCGTCGACGCTGGCTGTACCTTGGCTTCGGCAGGGAAAACTGATGCGAGCATAGCACAAGTTCGGCATGCGCCAGCACTAGACCTGGACATGTTTGCTTGCATCCGAGCTGCGACCAGAGCTGTACCTTGGCGAGCACATGTTGAGAGAGCGAACATGTTGATCATGGGGAGTGTGAAGATCCTTGAAGGCACCCCCCGGATGGATGATTCATGGTGAATCCGGGATAGCCTTGTTTTAGGATGCCTTGTCAGAGAGTGTCCCTCGGTACACGCTCCTACTTCCGTAGCCCGTGCCGGATTGGAGTGGCAGAGAGGCTTCACCTGTGCTGGGTTCGCCGACTTCGGAGGAGTCGACAGCCCGGTAGTAACGTGCACTCGCGTACACGCGTTCCCTTTAACAGGTTGGACGGAAGATCCCGGCCCGTGGCACTGAGGAACGAATCCAGTAGGAACGAATCCTCGCGCAAAGCGCGTCCGTGGCACGCACCCCGAAAGTGTGGCCGCAGCCTTTCGAAAGTGCTCGGGAAGACATCCTCGGCCCTTTTTAGGTATGTGGAGGCCGGTTCGGAAGAATGGTTCGCCGCAGCCATGCTACGGTTGGGCCACACTCCCTTCCACAAGGATGCTGACCATCGCCATTTTCGGGGGCAAATGCGAACCCAAAAAGCGCACTGTGTGTATCCGAGCCGCCCGGATTGTCACGCCCTGCCTTCCAAAAAATTGTCGCGGAATGACAATTTAGATTGTCATTTCGTGACAATCCTGGGCCTGTTCCTTCCCCAGATTGTCGTGGCGTGACAATCTGGGGGGCGGGGGAGGGGCGAGGGGGGGCGGGATTGTCACGGCATGACAATTTAAATTGTCATCCCGCGACAATTTGGGGCCCCTTCGGGCCCCACCTGCGTCACACTCTTCGTGTGGTCGTGGCGGCCGGATTGTCAAGTCATGACAATCTGCCCCCCCCCCCCCGCCCCTCCCAGATTGTCGTGTTGTGACAATTTGAGGTCCCTTCGAATCCGGCCCGTGATACACTCTGGGGGGGGGGGGGGGGGGGGGGGGGGGGGGGGGGGGGGGGGGGGGGGGGGGGGGGGGGGGGGGGGAGGCGGGGGGGGGGGGGGGGGGGGGGGGGGGGGGGGGGGGGGGGGGGGGGGGGGGGGGGGGGGGGGGGGGGGGGGGGGGGGGGGGGGGGGGGGGGGGGGGGGGGG